TAAAATCAGCTTATTAACTAATTAACTAACTAGTTAAAGAAAACCGAACTAACTACTTCCTAACTTAAAGAAACTGATAAAAAAGATTAAAGATCCTAATGCTTGAACCAAGAAAAACCCTTTCGAGTGAAAGATAAAAACTTGTAAGCAAAATCTAAGTAAAGAAAATTAAAGAAAGTAGTTTAGACTCCAAGAAACACAACCAAGCAAACCGTAGCTTTGCTTTGGTATCCAAGAAAGTGTCCATGCAATGCTTAACTTGAATCAATGTTTAGAGACAAGCTATCTTGATGCATGATAAGCAAATCTTCGAAGTTCTCCATGCTTAGACTTGCATCATCCTCCTCTTCTTCGAAAGAATTTGTCCTCAAATCTTGAAGTTCTTCATCAAGAATGTACTTAGCCAAATCACCAACATTGAATGTAGCACTAACTCCATACTCTCCCGGAAGTTCTAACTTATAAGCATTGTCATTGATCTTCTCAACAATCTTGAAAAGGACCTTCACTTCTAGGCATTAGCTTATTCTTGCATTTTCCCGGAAATCTTTCCTTTCTCAAGTGTAACCATACCAAGTCTCCAACATTGTAACTTTGTTGCTTTCTATGCTTGTTTGCCCTTGACTTATACAAGTCATTCACTTTCTCAATTCTTGCACGAACTTGAGCATGTAATTTCAGCATACTTTTCAACTTAGACTCGGCATCTTTATGTATTAATTCACCCTTAGGATTGGAATGAGATCAATAGGAAGTTTTGGATTCACTCCATTAACTACCTCAAAAAGACTATGCTTTGTAGCATAAGTAGGTGATCTATTATAAGCAAACTCTGCATGAGCTAACTTGATGTCCCAATCCTTTTGTGTCTTACTCACTAGTCCACGCAAAAGCACACCAAGAGTACGATTAGTGACCTCGGTTTGTCCATCAGTTTGTGGGTGATAAGAAGCACTAAAAAGTAACTTAGTTCCCACGAGCTTCCATAGAGATTTCCAAAAGAAACTCATGAACTTAGTATCACGATCACTCACAATAGTTTTCGGAATCCCATGTAGTCTAACAATTTCTTTGAATTATAATTCCGCAACTTTCATAGCATCATCCACTTTGTGGCAAGGAACAAAGTGAGCCATCTTAGAAAATCGATCCACAACAACCATGATTGAATCTTTCCCCCTTTGTGTTCTCGGCAATCCCACTATAAAGTCCATAGATACATCCTCCCATGGTGAACCTGGAACAGGTAAAGCTGTATACAAGCCTTGATGAAAAGTAGCCTTTGCTTTTTGACAAGTTGCACATCTAGATCCTATCGTGTCTATGTGTCCGAAAAAAAAAATAGAAAATAAAAAACCAGATCCTATCGTGTCCTACACACGTTTTGACATGCTTCCTAGTTATAGAGAAAGATTAAATTTCATATCTAAAAGAGAAAAGGAAATTACCTTAGATTTCCCACTTGAGTAAAGAAGAAAGAGAACGGAGAAAATGCTTGAGCCTAAGGTGAAGCAAAATTGGTCAGGAGCTAGATCATGCAATGAGTAGAGAAGAGAGAGAGAATTGAGTAATGGATGGATAGGCGTGTAAATGAACCAAGTTGATCAATAAACTACTCGGGTTCAATTATTCGAGCTCAGTTGAAACTCTTTCATGTTCGTTTATTTGATAAATGAGCCGAGCATAAACAGATTTTTAAGCTCGTTTAATAAATAAGCTTGAACATGAACATAGATATGCTAGTTTAGATAAATTCATGAACAACTCGTTTATTTATATTTGCGAACTACTCGTTTATTTATATTCTTAATTATTGATTTATTCACAAATGTTAATTCTTAAGTTATTTAATAATTAAGATTTAATTTTTAGGTTTATAATTAAGATTTAATTATTTTGCTAATATTGAGATTTTTAAATGTCAAAAGTACAAAGCTCGTTTATTAGAGAAGCTCATTAAACGAGCCGTTCACGAAACGTTTGCGAACATATAGTGTACAAAATGAGCTGAGTTTGAACAAATTTTTAAGCTCGCTTGAAAGCTCGGGATCGTTTCAGACTCGCCTAAGTTAATTAACTTGAAATTGAACACGAACAAAGTAGTACTCGACTCGGCTCATTTACACCCCTATGGGTGGAGAACGGTGTAACAGATTCTAAGGTTTTTTTTTCCCTTTTTTATAAAAATTACTATCGAAAATTTAAAGTAAAAGAGAGTTTTCCCACAATTTTAAATTCTTTTTAAAGTATTAGTTGTGGGTGCACATGTGTTAGAAAAATAGTTAGTAAAAACACTTTTAATACATGTTTATTGGGAGTTAATCAATAAGTTTATGATAATTATAATTAACATTTGATACGGTGAACAATTATCTTCAAAGTTGTTTTCTCATTAGCATAAATAGATAGTCCTTGTATTTACAACTTGGAAAAATTGTCCAGAATAATCCGACCTTTACCTCATCCGCCCAAAATGATCTCACCTTTTGATTATTTTTTTAATAATCCGACCTTTATACCCAATTCGCTCAAACTGATCCCGAGTGACCTGTAACCCGGTTGAGTAGATAAATTTTTTTTTTATTAAGTTTAATTTACACGTGTCACAACTTGATTTATCCAAAAAAAAATTAAAAAAAAAATTAATTAAAAAAAAAAGTAAAATCAAATAAAAAAAAACCACCACCACCTAAGCCCACCACCACCCAAACCTAGACCCCGGAACCACCACCCCACCCAGACCCAAATCCATAGCCACCCAGAAACTGACCGCGCCTACCGGAATCCCACCCCAGCCAACCTAACCCCAAAACTCCCTTCGAAAAATCAAAAACCCACTAAACCAGACCCTAGGAAATGGGCTGTGGAGTTCCGCGCAACGGAACCGTGGGAAGGGGAGGTCGGCGCGACCAAAATTGAGGTCAGGGGAGGACGACGCGGTCGGAATGGGGGACAGGGAAGGTCAGCGCGGCCGGAATTGGGGGACGAGGGAGGTCGGCGCGACCGGAAAAGGGATAGGGGACAGGGAGGGGAGCTGGGATCGGGACGGAAAATGGATTTTCAAGGGTAGGGGGATGCCGAGATGGTTTTATAATCACCGGTGCTTTCCGATGCATGGGTTTCCGTGGGGGAGGGAGGGAAGGGGTTGGTGGTTCAGGGGAGGGGGGTCGATCGCGACGCTGGTGCTCGGGTTGGGGGCTGGCTGGCCGAAGCCGCGTGGCAGGGGACTCAGGCGGCGGGGACGAGGTGGCTTAAGCAGCTGGTGGGTGGTTTTTTTATTTTTATTTTTTCTTTGAACAAAAAATTTAACTTTTTTAATAAATTTATTTTATTTTATTTTTTATTTTTTTTACCAATCACAGGCCGCCACGTGTCCAGTAACTTGTTATAACAAATTACATGACCAATTGGGATAATTTTGAGCGGATTGCGTATAAAGGTTGGATTATTAAAAATTTATCAAAAGGTATGATTATTTTGGGCGGATGAGGCAAAAGTCGGATTATTCTGGGCTATTTTTACTTATAACTTTTGTAAATTTATTTTTTTCATGAAATAAGCCAAGCTCTAATAATGTTATTTGTGTAAAAATGCTTAATATCTTCTCCGTTAATCAACTTTAATAATGATATTATAAGCGTGTTTCTTTCTATCGCTTTAACTCTTTTTTTTTACTCCCTTCGTCCCTTAATGATAGTCCTTTTTGGTGAAATTTCACGAGAATTAAGAAAAATAAGTAGTAAAAGTACATTGAAAAAGTAAATTTACATGGGGTATATTAAAAAAATAGAGAGAAAGTAATAAAAGTACTTTGGAAATGCAAAATTTACATGGGAATCTAGTTTTGCACAAATATTATTGCAAATTGGTGGGGATTTTGGTAAAAAATTAATATTAATGGTTGTTGGAAAAAACAAATGAGATGAACATTTTGGGACTAAAATTTGGCCAAAACAGATTATCATTAAGGGACGGAGGGAGTAGTTTTGCAATTCATTCCGCGCAAACTAATTTGGGACAATGAAAAAGGAAAGTGAAAATCATTTTTTTTTTAATGCATAAAAGTGAAAACCATATGTGGAATAGAGTAATATTATTAAGGATCTTGCTAACAAGCGCCCCGGGGCGTTAGATAATTACTTAATGTATTACTTAAAATAGTATTAAGTTCGAAATGCATGACAAAATCATGTGTCAATCAGTGTAATTAATGTTAATTTTACTTTAATATTTCCACATTTAGTTCTTTTATCTGATCCTCCGGGGCGCTCGTTAGCTTTTGCCTATCAGTAATAATGACAATATTAATAATAACTATATTAGGTCCCGTACCATGCACGGTAATTTTCACTATTTATTATTAGTTTAACACTATATTTATTTATAATAATTATCAAATAACAATAAAAATTCATAATTACAAAAATAAAAATAAAAATAAAATTATATCATACTAAAGAAAATAGTGAGAGTATTACATGCACGACTAATCAAATAATTATGGATTACGTCACAAAGTTATATGTAGGAAAATATTATTGCTTAGTATTTTTTATTGCATGGTATTATATAAACAAATAATATTTTGTTGGATGTTTATAAATGGAATATAATAACCAAATAGTAAGGGAAATATTATTGCACGGTATTAAATATTCTCTATGAAGCTTTGGCCAAAAAAAAAAAAAAAAAATTGCGCAAAATTATTTAAAAAGGAGATGACATATGTCATTCTTGCCTTCCTTGTTTCACCTTTATTATACGGAGTAATATATAGTTACAGATATATGTGTTAGAGTCAATTTGATGCAATATAACTTTTTTTTTTAATTTCGTACTATAAATTGAATCCATGTGATTGTAATATATCAAAAAAAAAATAAAAATAAAAAAATAAAACCGCAAATAATATTAATATTAGTAATAAGTATCTTTAATTTCAAGGAAAAATGAAAACTAATAATCCCACATTTACCTTTTCTGCTCAAAACAATCCCACCTTTTCGAAATCCCAGAACAATCCCACCTTTTCGAAATCCCAAAACAATCCCACCTTGTACCCCCTTCTTCTTAAAACAAGCCTTTTTCATTTAATCACCGGTTAAACCAATTTTCCTTTTTTTTTAAGCAGGTAATTCTCCTTATTACCATTGAGCGCCATTAATTCCCAATTGACTCCCCCACTGTTCTTCATCTCTCCGTCTGCAATTTCCTTTAAATGCCCAACCCCCCATTCATTTTTGTTCAACCCTTTCAATCAACTCCCAAAAAAATCCCTTAAGCAAGCTTCTTATTTTAGCAATGGAAAGTCAGCAATCCCATGGCTCTACTTCGATGTCCAAGAAATTAAGGTACCCTCCTTTCCCAGTTTATTGCTATCACGATGAGGTAGCTCCGTTGAGGACGGTGAAGTATGATGGTCCGACCAAAGGAAAGCTTTTTTACGGTTGTTCCTTTTGGCCAGTAAATTCCCTCCTCTATTAAATTTAATTATTTTGTTTGAATGGGTAAATAATTGAATTTTTTTTTTTTAACAGAGGACATGCGGTTTTTTCAAATGGGTTGATGAGGTTGATGATATTCGCGATCTGAAATCTCGCATCGTTGATAAGAACTTAATAATCATGGAGTTGGAGGACAAGCTTGAGCTGGTGAAGGAGAAGGTCAAGAAGTTGAAGGCTAAACAAGAGAAATTGGTTGATGATGTTGCTGAGGTGGGGATTGTCGCAACCGAGACCCTCTTTGAGATGAAGGAGAACAACACTGATAAGAAGCTAAACGTGGCTTTGATCTTATCTTGGGCTTTTTTTGATGTTGTATTCATGATGAAGTGAAGGTTGTAGTGTTGATCATGGTTTTTTTTTTTTTTTTTTTTTTTGTGGTATAATCTAGGTTGGTGGGATAATGTTGTGGGATTGTAAGTCTTTTTTTGGGTCATGGCTGATGATGGTGATGTATGTAGTTGTTTTGATCTAAGTAGTTGTTCAATAATGCAGTAGTAGTAGTACTTTTGTGGGTCTCATGTGTTTAGGTGTTATATGACAGTGTTACATTATGTAGGGGCTTATTGTAAATCTTTTGCACTAAATGTATATGATGATATTTGAAGTATGTATTTAGATTTTCTGATCATGGAACTTATCTTTCATTTGCACACAAAATGGTAAAAAGTACTTAGTTATCATAACAAATAAACAGAGGTTCAATACATTAGCAAGTTGCCATAAGTCATTTCCAAACACATAATTAACTAATTAAAATGGTTGTAAGGGTTACAACCAAAAGCCCAAACTTAACACCTAACTAGATTAAACTTAAACAACAACCAAAAGGGGATCCTTGTCTGAAATGGATGTTGACTGTCCTAGCTTTACTGTCCAGCATTTGCAGATGTTGATCCATGACTGAAGTTGAAAGAGTAGGTGCTGGTGAAGGCACATACATCTTCAGGGGCACTACTTCCTAGTGCTTGCAATAAATAGCAATTAAGATCAGTCATTGGACAAGGGTAAATGAATACAAACCAAAAAAAAAAAAGGAATCTTACATTTATGAAAGATGTTCCATTAGATGTCACAAAAACAACCAAATCCCCTTGGCACAACATTGCTGCCACCCCTTCTACCACCACTTGAACCCCTGCTTCCTCTTCTTCCTCCCCTTTACCCTGATTCACCTGCCCTGCCACCAATTCTTCCTCCCCTTTCACTTGATTCACCTCCCCTGCCACCAGTTCTTTTTCCCCTTTCACTTGATTCACCTCCCCTACCACCAGTTCTCCCACCCCTTTCACCTGATTTAACTTCCCTGCCACCACTTCTTCTTCCCCTAGATCCTCCCCTTGCCCCTCTACTACTACCACCTCTAGTGACAACTCTGCCTCCTCTTCCTAATCTAGAGGGTTCTGCAGTAAGTGTGTGGTGTGCATTAGATTGTGGCAGAGCTTGTTGTTCTTGTGTGACAAAGGTTTTTTTAGGCCTCCCCTTGGTCTCTTTGAAGGTGGTTTAGTTGGGGGGAGTGTGGCAACACCAAGGTTAGGGCAGCCTCTTTTGTTGTGGCATTTTTCCTTGCACAAAGTGCAAGTCATTTCCATGCCATGCTTAGTCAGTTTCCATGGCTTCTTGGGATCTTCAAATGGGTCCTTTCTTCTGTTTTTTCCTTGGTCTTCCTGGCCCCACTTTGATTGGTGGTGGGTCAATGGGAAATTCTTTTAGTGGCCAATGTCTCTCACCTTTAATTGGGGGGATAGAGTTTGCATAAGCTTTTATGTACTCTGATGTTGTATAGGCTGGATCAACAAAATCTTATACATTCTGGTGTTTGAAAAATATTACAGCCACAGCATGACAACAAGGTAGGCTAATCATATCCCACTTCCTACAGGTGCAAGTCCTTACCTTCAAGTCCACTGTCAAAGTGTCCAAGTGGTAATTTACTTGGAACCGAGTTTGTGTAGATGGGAGTACATCACATTTTGCAGCTTCTTCCTTCTTGGCAATCCTAGGGCATAAGGAAGTGGTCCACTTCATCATTTCCTCCCTCTTATTCACTAGTCTCTTCATCAAAGCTGCCCTGATGTCTTCCAACATATAAATCAAGTGCTTTGCCCTAGCATTGATTATGTACCCATTAAATGTCTCAGCCATATTGCTAGTTATAACATCAGCTTCACCTCTGTTTTCAAGAAAGCTCTACAAAACACAGTAGGATTGTATGTAGCAAATGGGTTTACTTTTGTTAACACCTGTAATGCATCATTATAGTCTGCTTGACTATAAGACTTTGCACATGTCCAAAACATTAACTTGAACTCATTTCCCTTGTAGTTTTTATGCAAGTTAGAAAAAATGTGCCTTGTACAATGCCTATGCTCAGCTTTTGGTAGTACCACTGATACCCCCCTTAAGATGGATTGTACTCATAACAATTAACACAAAGGAAAACTACAATTACAAACTGAAACAAAAACAAATAAATTGAGAAATCATAACAGATGCATAACAAGTGCATACCTGGTGTTCATCAGACACAATTACACATCCTGCACCATCCTCAAGTGCAAGGCTTTTCCTTAAGTTCAGGAGGAACCACTCCCAAGATGCACTATTTTCACCTTCCACCACAGCCCAGGCAATGGGATACATCTGGTCATTGCCATCTCTACCTAGTGCTGACATCAACTGCCCCAAGAAAAGTTTTCAGGAAGCATTCATCTATACAGATTATCTTCCTGCATCCTGCTTTCCAACCCTTCCTCAAACCATCAAAGCAGATATAAAGTCTCTGAAAAATTAGGGGCCCTTTGTTGTTTTGTTTGTAAGTCACCAAGTCCACATCAGGACAAAAAGCTTTCAGGGCTCCAAGATACCTACCCAACTTGCCATAGTGCTTTCTCATTGAACCATGCAGCTTCTTGTGAGCATAATACTTCACTTTATATGCAAAACCCTTCTTCACTATCACCCTATAGGCTTTCCTGACAGTCTCAATAATTTCCTTTACAGGCCAATAAGGTCTGGCCTTGAAAACATCCAACAATTGGTCAGCTAATCAGATTTCAGTTGGATGTTCTTCTCCATGTTTCTAATGCAAGTATGCTCATTCATCACTCTCTTAATTACAAATGATCCTCTCCTGGAATCCCAGGATGCATACAACCACAAAGGACAACCCTGACTACACTTTACACCAATCCTCTATTGCCTCCTTTTATTTGCAGCCACTACACACAAGTTCCTGCCTTGATAAATAGCAAACTTAGCCACAGCTTGCTTGAAGTGTTCCCTAGAGGTAAACCTTTGTCCAATTTTCCACTCAAACTTTGAATAATCAGTGTCTCTCCCAACTAGCAGCCCCCTTTTTAGCTCTTCTCTCTTCAGCAATGATGTCCTCATCACTTGGTTTTGGTGTGTGTATCTCATCATCAGTGTCTTCATACTCAGAAACAACATTCCCTTCCCTCACAACTTGTTCCCTCATAACTGACCCCTTTTCCTTTAGGCATTTAGATTACCCTCGGCAGCCTCTACTTGTAGTGTATGTGCTAGTTGAATTATACTACACTTATATCCCTTAACTATATCTCTAGCTACTCTCTGCTCATCATCACTTGTATCTACATCTAAGACTTCGGGTTCCCTCAACTCATCCAGATCTTTTTCCTCAATAGCTTCACCATCAGGCCCAAAACTAGCTTCAAAGATCTGATAGTCAGTTAGCCAATCATCCTTTTTAGTTTCATACTCATTGTAGTCTATATCATGAGCTGCAACATAATCTGGGTCACTTTGTTCACCACTCAAGTTGTGCTTCTCATACTCCTCGCTGTCCCACTCATCCCCACTTAAGTCTGCATCATATAGCAATTGGTCCAAAGGAATGGGGCTCTTAGGTATGGGATCTTCCCAATCATAATCATCAGGAACCTTAGATCTAACAAAGTTATCCTGAGGGTATGAAGTGGTTGCTGGTTTTGTTTGGGTAGTTTGTGTTTAAGTAGGGTTTTCTAGGATAAAAGGGGTGGAAGGGACAAGATTTAAAGCCTCAGAAGAAGCTATCTTTGGTTTTAAGGTTGCTTTTATCTTTTTCTTTTCTGTGGGGACCACTGTGGGGTTTGAATTTTTGGTGTTTTGGGACAGTAAAAGCATGTTGTCTGACACCTCAATAGATTCCTTGGTCAACCTTGAAGACCTTCTTGGAGTCAGTTTTTTGGGTCTAGGGGCCTCAACTGGTTTATACACGAGCTGGGCAATACTTGACCTAGTTTGTGATGTTTTAACGAGGGTCAAAAGTCAGAATCTTTATCATCATGGACAACATACAAGTCAAGGCATCTACTTTGCAAATCTACCTCACCCATTGTTCTGACCTCATTGTCATCATACACGCTCCTCAATCCAGTCTCCAAATCAAGGTCAGGCATCAAATAATACAACTTTAATCCACCACTATAAACACCTCATTTATCAAGTAACTCTTTCAAGTAAAACCAACACAGTTCATCAGGGTCAACAACAAATGTCCTATACAGCCCCCCATAGTACACCCACAAACCATTTTTACCTTTCTTAAACACACCACCATGATAGAATTTTAGACTTACAGTATCCTTATCAATCTGAAATCAAAAAAGGGGTTTATCGCAATTTAGGGTTCATGACAACATTTGTAATGAAAAATGCACAATTCATCAATTAATTCACTTCAATTACCATACACAATCAATTACACATGAACTAACAACAATTTAGTGACTTAAACGACATTACACAAGTTTGGGTTGACGCATTTACATGGAAAACACGAGCGCTTCTATTCTTTTCCCAAATCGCAATTCCACTGCAAAAGCGTCCACCGTCGTTCAATTGTAGCCTGATTTGTCTTGAAAAGTTTAACATTTTAAAACTACTCTTTTTAATCTAATTAAGCAGCCTTGGAAATTGGAGAACAGTTTGTTGAAGAAGAAAGGTTGAAGTGAGAAAAAAGGAGGGAAATAAAAAAGGTTGACCTATTGTTTAGGTAGCCTGTAAAAAGTCTTGTTTTAAGAAGATGGGGGTACAAGGTGATATTGTTTTGGGATTTCAAAAAAGTAGGAATGTTTTGAACAGAAAAGATAAAGGTTGAATTATTAGTTTCCATTTTTCCTAATTTGAATTACAAGATATAAATTAAATAAATACGGAGTATAATTTTATTGACTTAAATAAATTGTCAATCAATAAGATATAAAAAGAAAAATAAAGTAAGAATATATTTATTTTCGAAAAATGGACTTTGGAGGGAAAAAACGACACCAAAAAGCAACTTGTGTTATTTCCGGTGTCTGTTTTAGTATTATGTTATTATTGATGGGAGTTTGAATTAAGCTGAAATGAAATTTTAAATATAAGTCCAAAAAATGTGTAATCCCTGTGAATAAAGGTCTAATTTTAGTTTTGCTTCTTTAGGATGTCAAAGAACTTTCCTTAAGATCCCAATAGGCAATAACCATTCCCTTCCTTTGGAGAGCCAGCAAGAATTTATTTAATTTACAGTAATCACCATTTTCGTTAATCAAAGACGAATATGTACACTTGATCAGATTAATTAATCAACATAACATCTATTTCTAGAAAAAATTAAATTAAATATAAGGATTAACATGAGAAGAATAATCTCTAATTCCAGCACCTTCCCAACCCATCCACTCCTCCCATAATTCCCATTCTGAATCATTGTCTGTTCCTCTAAATCCTTCATCTGGATCATAATATGCTTCCACTGCTTCTTCCTCTTTCGTTTCGCCTCGAAAATTATTCATTACCATCTACATTAACACCAAATTCAAAGTCAGCTTCAAGATGATTGTGTTGTGAATTTTTCAATATTTGAAAATTGAATTAAAAATATTACCAGTAGTAGAAAGAAAGGAATCAGTATTGCTTACATCATAAGCTTCGTTGATTTGGTGAAAATTGATTGTGCAATTATCTCCTCTGCATACATCTGGATGATACTGTAAACACCACATTTTACAAATCCAGTTAGATTTACCATACAAACACTTCAAATTCCACAAAAATCAATATGATCAACAAATTACTGCTGAAATGTCTTAAATTAGATCCAAATTGATGAAATTTCACAAAATCAGAATTCTCCCATAAGATACAGTAAACAATAAAACCAAAACCAAATTTCACAAAACTTTACAGTTAAAAAAATAAATAAATAAAATCAATGGCAAAAAAAAAACCTCAATTTAAAGCAAAAATCGCACCACAAAAAAAAAAAAAAGAGAAAAAACTTGGCAGAAAAGATAATACAGTTGAAATGGCTCAGATTAGACGAAAACCGATTAATTTTCACAATATACCTATCAACAAATCTATAATAAGTTAACAATAAAATAAAATTTCAAATTTTTTAAGAAAAATCAGAGTAAAGCATAGAAATAAAAGGACATTACCTGCAAAGCAAGGCGTCGGAAAGCCTTCTTAACCTCAGATTCAGACGCTCCGCGATGAACGCTAAGAGTCTGGTAAGGATCAGCGTAAGTAGTAGCAACCGAAGCAGAAACAAACGCAACACGATTTCTGCTCGTTTTGTTCTTCCTCTTCTTCATTAATGGAGAAAAAGATGAAATCGAAGAAGATGAACCTTTCATCGCCGAACTCACTGTTGCCGCCATTAACACAAATCGAATTAAGATAATATTTGCAAAATAGATAATTTCGGATAAATTTGAGAAAAAAGGGATTTGGATAAATTGAATAATTGTGGGAAGAAAAAGGGTTGGTAAAGTGGTATATATAGAGAAAAAAAGGGGAACAAGGATGACGTGTAAAGACGTGGATTGTGGAAAAAAGACTGAGTCTCTCTCGTGGTGCTAGATAAGGATCTGCCAATGATCTTATCCGTGTAATAAATTACTCTTTTTTTTTTTTTTTTTTGTTAGCTCGTTTTGATTTTATTATTTTGGATTATAATATTTGATAATGATCTGTTTTGAACGTGTCAGTCTACCGCGGATGACATAATGCCACGTGTTTGAAAGTTGAAGGTTAAATTGTTTGGATAGGGTACTTTTTTGCATTATTAGTTTTATCAACTTCCTAGAGTGGTATTGTCGGTTTGGAAGTTGGAATGAGCCCAATGTTTTGGGCAAAACTGGTTTTTCTTCCCGTATACAAATATGCAAGGAGCTGTGTACAGTTTACTGTGTAGTGTGTGCACAGCAATATATTTAGGATAAGGATTTTTTTTTTTTTTTTACAAAGGTCTACACATAAAAGAAAAAACACAAACTAAAAACGAAAGCAAAGAAGCTGACGACGACGAGCCGAAGTAGCTAGATTATGACGACGACTGACGAGTATTGTGTGAGATAGGAGTCTAGGACATAGGAGCGGTATGGTAAATACATATCAAAATTTGGCAAACAATTTAGGACAAGTTAACATTCCACAAAATGAACGGGACATAGGACATAGGAGTGGTATGGTAAATACATATCAGAAAGTATTGTGTGAGACTGGACCTAGTGTATCAAGTAGTAATAATACTTCCTCTGTTCTATTAATATTACAACAAGTATGAAATTACGCATCTCAAATCACATTTTATATGCTAAATATCTATAATTGTGTAGAGTAAAAATTATAAAAAGTTGATACTGTGAGAGTATTTTATGAGACGAATCCAACAAGATCCCACATGATTATATTTTGCTTAATGTATAAATCATATTATATGGTCAAACAAGAGTGATGAATAGTGCAAAAAGTCCATTGTTGCAATATTAATAGAACGGAGGAAATATCATATTTTGACATTGTAATATTTTATTGGAAAATTTGGTTTTAATAATCTCAACTTTGTTAGATTTTCTTTTAATAATCTCAATTTTGGATTATTTTGGAATAATCTCAACTTTGGGGTCATTTTCTTTCTTCAATCCCTAACTAGTCAATAAAAGTCAATGACTTGTTATAACTTACATGAGGACGTAATTGGTTCAAATAATTTTTTAAAAAACATTAAAAAAATTAAAAATAAAATAAAATAAACAGAAAAAACAAGTCCACCCTCCACCCCACCGGAAAACATTTCCCCATCCCCAACCCCTCCCTCCCCCCCCCCCCCCACCAGAACGAAACATCCCACCTCGCCGCCCGACCCTCTACCCCAGCCAGTTGACCGAAACAAACTCCCTCCTCAGCCCCACCCACAAAACCGCCCATAACCCAAACCCTCGCCCTTGAAACCACCCTAAATCCCCTCCTTGAAACCCTCCCCCACCCGAAACCCTTCCTCCACCCCTCAAAAATCAAACCCTAGCACAACGCCGGTGTATTAGTGCGTGGTTGAGGACCACTCGGTATTTTGATGTGTGAGGAAGGTACGACTGTTGTGAGTTGTTGTTTGAGGGGTTGCTTGCAATGTGGGTGTTGGTGAAGATGGGTATTTTGTTGTCATTAGGATTGAAGGAAGAAAACAACCCTAAAGTTGGGATTATTTAAGAATAATGTAAAGTTGGGATTATTAAAAAAAATCAAGCAAAGTTGGAATCATCTAAACCAATTTTTCCTATTATATTTCATTATTTTTGTATCAGATTTAACATCAGACCATTTAATATCATATTTTGACATTTTATATTAGATTTTGAAATTGGTATATCATATTTTGATTATTTTAAGTCAGATTTTGACATTTTAAAATTAGATTTTAACATTTTTATATTAGATTTTGACATTCTAATATCAAATTTTGATATTCTAATATTAGATTTTGACATTTTTTTTATCATATTTTGATATTTTTTACTACCTCCGTTTCATATTAGTTGCAACTTTGGGGTATTATTTGTGAGATATAAAATATTCCAAAGTTACAGCTAATATGAAATGAAGGTGGTATATCAAATTTTAATACCTAATACCAACCCTTTTAACACCTAATTTAAACCCTTTGATGCCTAATTTCAACTTGTTATTCTCTGATATAAACCATTCCATTAACTTACCTTTTCTTTTCTTATGTTTTATCATCAACTGACCCTTTTCTTATCTTATGTTTTAATTTCAAGGGTTTTCAATCAACAACTTGCCCCCAATTTTAACCCCCAAATCATTTAAAAATCATCAATTAATCATAAAATCTTTTCATAATATCATTCAATTTACTCATATAATCCCTCAAATCAATTTCATCCAATTTCTTAGAACCTAAATAATGTCGACAAGTCAATCGAGAGCGGTGTTAGAAGGCGATTTAGAGATAGTTGCAGTAGAAGATAAGTCGTCATGTAGATCCCAACCACCCAAAAGCCAACATAAGCAACTACAATTTCTTCTTTAAGTAAAGCATTACCTCAAATCAATGGAGGTATGAAGAGGAACCATCACTAACACGAGTTATGGTGCGAGGGAGAAGGGAAAAGAGGAGTTGGGCGGTTATTGTTGATGCTTGTGTGGAGAGTGAGAAAGTTTCATTAACGGAGGGATAGGAAGATTATTCGTGAGAAAAGCAAAGGCATGATGGTGAAGTTTCGGGTTGTGAAATAAATTTGTATCAAGGGGGTTCGACTCACCACCGTGAGTCTGAATCACCCAATACTTTACGAATACATATTGATTCCTGCCTAAGAAAAGGGAAGAAAGAGAAAACTTTGCACATAATAACGATGAAACTATCATGGCATCATAATTTCATGAAAAATAATAACTCATTAGCATCTAGTTTCTTAAAGATTTTAACTATCATTTTATGGCTTAGGTAGGTGGTCATCTTCTTGTTCGAAGTGTTTTTTGGGTGACATTGGAGTTAATGGAAAAAAAATTTGCTTAATTACTATAATAGAATATAAAATGATCTTAATTCACATGATTGTAGAGTGAAATTTATTGTCAACCACTTGTGGAATTTGATATAGCTGATGAACTAGGTTATGGCAATGAATTGTAATTTGATCAAAGAATTTGAATGATATGATCGGTAGAAGTAACAAAATATGTATGAGCGATTTTGAAAGATAGGCATTGTTTTAGAATTTTATGCTCTTTGGTGGGGGATATTGACTTGAAATATACAAAGAATATAAATTTTGAGGAAATGGTTGCAATATTTGTGGACATTATTGCCTACAATGACAAAATTCAAGAAATAAAGTTTGACTTCCAACAATCTCAAAAGACAATAAGTAACTACTTTCATAATATTTTAAAAGCAATTTTAAAGCTTTAGAGAATCGACTTTCGTCGCCATACTTAGAGCATCTCCAATGGTGTATTTTAAGGACACGCTTGCAAATCTGAAAAATATTAAAATTTTTGCTTGACCATTTGAGCACTATTGAAATACCTGCTCTCTGAGTTAAGCAACATTGCTTGGAAAATTTAAGCAAATAAAAATTAATTTCATAAAATGGGGCATGGGGTACATGTTTGGTTTTGTATCAAACATGAGGTACAAATGCTATACAAGATAAGAGCAACATCATTTTTAAACTTTTTCTAAAATATATATATATATATATATATATATATATATATATATATATTATATTCAACCTTATCAATTGACTCATAGCTAAGATGTTGAGGTGTTAATCCTAGATTCCTAGAGTAAGTATACTATTGTAAAGAACCCAAATGTGTTGTACATATCATATGTTTTATTTTTATTTGATATTTAAATTTAAATTTATTTGATTATTTCATATAATAACAAACTAGATTTTTTCAACATAGGATTTTACCAAAACTTTAGCTAACGTAAAGTATTTATGTAACCGTATTTAGCTTTGAGTTATCTATAACTTATGAGCTAATGCATCTATAAATAACATTCTTAAACTTAAGAATACATCTAGTATATATATTATTTCATAGCAATATAATCTATAAATACTTTTATATCTATGGTTAATTCCTCGTAAAAAAATTAGGTGGATGGTACGGATCGGATAATCCATACAGTCAATACTCGGTATATTGGTGATGTGGGAAATTCATAAAACGCTGAAAATTACACCTCCAAAAAATCATACCCTCAAACACACTACCACTCCTGCTGCTTACCCCAATACTACAATGCCTAATTTGCATGACACTATATCAAGCAACTATCTTCAACCTCCACTTTCGAGTTAATTCTATGTGGTTCATGATGCTACAAGAAGAGAAAGTATAGGGGCCTCTAGCATATATGCACCATGAATCTTCACTTAAAGGTCACAAATGGAGTCTGACACTCCTCAAAGTAATAACATACAAGAGGTAATAAATGCACAAGCTACTAGTAGTCGACTGATAAGCTTTCATGGACCCAATACATGGATGAAGATTTATGCATGAGTAAGTTAGATTTCACAACTGATAATCAAAGGCACCAATCAAGTAAGGCAGATTATTGAAAAATATTGTAGACTATTATAACGAGTGAAAAAGGGAAGACCCTTTAATAATCATAGAGCAAGCTATAAATCATTGGTATAATATGAATCATGATTTTAGCAAGTTCAACGTGTGTTATGTTTAGGTTAAAAGTGCTCACCCAAATGGCAATGACGATGACCAAATAATTAGTAATGCCCAAAAGCTTTTTACTAGCCAAAGTGAAAACAAGAGAAGAAAATTATTTCCATATCTTCATTCTTGGAATATTCTTCGAAATGCCCCAAAGGGGAAGGATTATGTTTCTTCACATAGTAGTTTTACAAAAAGAACAAAGACTTCTACTCCCGAGGATTACACTACCTCTTCTCTTAAAAGTAAAAACCACCGCAACCAACGTTACAACACCATAATTGTCTTAAAAGTGACAAAAAAAAAATAAAAAATCAGTAGCAAATCTAAGAAAGTTAGTTCAAATTTTGAAGGAGCAAAAGCAAAGAAGTTAGTTCTAAATCTAAGGGGGAAAAAAATCAAAGAATTAACAACCTCACCATCCACTTCACGACCAACAATTACACTTCTAGATGATGAACAATCACCTACAAAATGGTGAAGTTGTATGAGTGGGTGGCGGTGATTTGGAGATTTCGAGGAGGATGGTGGTAATTTTGAGAAAATATTTTTAGTTGCCATGGAGTAGTAGATCTCAAGGTGTCGAGGAGGTGAGTGGGTGGGGTTTAAGGATTCCAGATGTGGTAGTAGTGGTGTCGGTAAAAATGATGACGATGTCAGTAAAAGTGGTTTGGGGCATCAACGGTGTCGGTTAGAGTGGTGGGGGCATTGATGGTGCCGGTGAGATTGGTGGCCTTGGTGGGGGTGTCGGTGGGGAGTGGTGGGTATAGTGGGGAGGTGGTGGGGATGTTGGTAAAGTTAGTGAAGGTGGGGTGGTAGGTGGTCATGTATTTGGTGGTTGAACTTTGAATATGGGGTAAGGAGAGGTTAAAGGGAGAGAAATATAAGTAACATCAAAAGGGGAATGGGTAATAGATCAAAATTAAGATTGGAATTAGACCTGGTCATTGGGCGGGTCACGTTGGTGCGGGTCGGGTCAAAGATGGAGTGCGCACCCCATTTATATAAGCTTTTACTTTCTCTCTATCGGGAAGCTACTGCAATGTTGTAACAATGGAGTCCGTTGTGATTCCGACACTTGCTCCGGGATACTACTCATTATGCGAGTTTGACGCCTCAACCTAAGGGTGTCGCGCGTCGTGTCGAGTCGACACGCGATACTTTGGGTTGAGGAGAGTGTCGGGGTAACACAGGTCATAAGTAACTTGGTATCAATAATATAAGATTACCAAAGATAATAAGTTTTTTTATCATCAAAGATAAAGATAAAAAATAAAGTGTTAGGCCCTTATTACTTCACCTTTTTTTTGTTGAACCGAAATTTACTGTACTTAAATTATTTTTGCTTAACTAAAATTATTTTTACTGATTCTTTGTTATATTTCCTTAAAGTTACTAATTTATACCTTGTTCACTTCTCTTTATTTTTGTCGAATTGAAATTATTTTTACTGAATTTAAATTATTTTTACCGAACTAAAATTAATTTTATTGAACTGAAATTATTTTAGCCGAATCTATGTTATATTTCTTTTTTAAAGTTATTGATTTTTACTCACTAAAATATTTTTACTGAACTATTTTATTTTTACTGTATTGGACTTATTTTTGCCGGAGTGAAATTATTTATACTTAATATTATTTTTGTAAGTTGAAGTGAATAGGTCCGTATACTTAAGTAGCTGAAATTTTTTGTAGTGAACTATACTTTTTTTTTGCTGAAATGAAATTATTTTTACTTAACTGAAATTAAATTCTATTTCATACTATTTTTGTAAGGTGAAGTAAACAAGACCTTACCAAAGAGAATTTCCTAAATACTTATGTGTTATTTTAATTTTGTAATGTTTTGCACTGTTTACACTATTCATACACAAATATTGTGATTTAATTACATGGAAAAATATAGTCATATGGGGTCGTATTAGATTTGACTCGGTATATACAAAAGTCACCTTTTATAATTTTACTGTTATATAATAAAGATCATGTCTTGTTGCAATATTGAATAAGAGGAGGGAGTTACTCCTCTCTTTTTTATTTATTTTTATTTTATTCAGTTTCATCTTAGACCATTCTTATTTATTCCACTCACTTTTTTTTATTCAAAATTTAGCCTATCCCTTTTACCATCTTACCCGTATAACCCCACAATAGTATTCTCACTCTCTCTTACTTTGTTCACCTTTTTCTTACACAAACCCACCTTTTTACATTCTCTCTCTTACTTTACCCTACTTTATCTTTCATTCTCGTATTGTTCAATATTTTCTTAAATTGCGTACAATGTAGAACATAAAAGAACAACAGGGGGAGGTTTGATACAAACAAATCCAGCTCATTTTTTGTGTCTATTTACTCATCTTTGCAGAATGGATGAAATGATTCGTACAAACAAAAAATGGAGAGAATTAATTTGGGATGATAGAGAAAAAGATGATGGGATTGATGATGAATTGTTTCTCATGAGTGGTGAAAATGAGGCTGAAACTGATGCAGTTTCAAATGAGGTAAGTACATTGTTTCGGACAAACTAGAACATGGTCTTTTTTCTATCAGATTTAACTTGACCAAATTATGATGCTATGAGTTGGCACGTAATTTTGCTTGTCGACTGTTGCTTATTGGTTGATAGCTTTTCTGCGGCTAGTAAAACTTTAGATGCCATCGATGTTTCTTATAAAGGTAAAGCTTGCTTCTCTGTGATGATCACCAACTATTTGTTTTAATTAGTTATTTCTTTCAAGCTTATCCTGAAAACCTTTTTGAAGAACCTTCGTTGATCATGCTGCTGACCTGTTTTAGATATTGTTATACTCACTCTGTCCCTATTTTTTTGCCCCATTTGTCTGTGCACGGTCTCCAAGACGTGTATTAAAATGTCTATATCTTTATTTTCATACACGTAAAAATTATAAAAACGTGATATTAGTAAAATATACAATGAAACGAATCTAACAGGACCACTCATGACTAAATTATCTTTTATAGATTAACGGTAATTTATGGTCAAAGTTTTCAAAGTTTGACCCAAAAATGACAATGGGGCAAAAATAAAGGGACGGAGGGAGTATCTCTCAAGTTACGACCTCATCTATTTGCCAAATTTTATGAATATGATTTTGGTTCTTTGACTCCCATTTTTACTGATACACCAACCAGGAGTCTGATTCTGATTTGGAGGAACCAACATCTGGTTGCACGGCATGTGCTTTGATAATTCAAGATGACAAGTTAGTCGTTGCTAATGCTGGTGACTCTCGTTGTGTGATGTCCAAGTGTGGTCAAGTAATCCTCTCTCTTCCCCTCCCCTTCCTCTTTCAATCCCTTCTCCTCTTTACCCCACACCCCAGTGTAGCAATAAAAAGAAGAGTAAATATGTTTCTTTTCAATGCATGCTGTATTTGCGATAAAAAAAAAAAAAAAAAAACCTCATTGTTGATAAGCCTGGTTATTGAGCAGGTTGCTAGAAGGGTAAGTCAGAAGATCACCATTCAAAATTGTTAGTGGGTCAAGATATGGTCTGGGTCTGGGTCTATGCCAATTGTAAAAAGGTCATTAGTGGGTCACCTAACTGATGAAGAATTGTTTACTTTGATAAGAAAAATATAATGTAGTCATGGTTAAAAACTCTATTTATGTATTAGCATATACGAAGTATCAATTAAATTTACTTGCAGTATGATTAATACCAGAAATCTGAACTTGAGTGGTGTTTAGTAAATTCTAGTGACTACTTTAGGTTCCATTTTATAACAAAGAAGATGGTTAAACCCATATATTTCTCTCAAGGAAGGTGAAGAAAGGGGAGAGATAAACCAAAGGCAGACTAAGGAACTGCTTCTATATGGCGAGCTTAAAATTAGGTCATCCAATAATCAAGTAGATGGAATCCAATATTACCTCATAACTGTCTCAAGTGAATCGCCTAAGGAAATTTTTAAGCACAGAGGAAAGAGAGAGTACTGTGAAGAGGCACAAATGTATGCTACCACAAAAGAGAGAGGAGAGAGAAGTAAAGAGTGTCTTCGACCCTATTTGAGTTTATTGGCATGGCCACCACAATATTTAATATTAATGGGTTGTCACTAAAACCCTATAATGACCCTATTTTGCCTCTATTTAACAAAGAGTAGAAGGGTGAAAGCCCTTAATATGTGGCCTGTGCCCGGCCCGTTTTCTATTTGACAACCCTGTCCTTGTTGACAAAGCATTTATCTTTTCAGGGAAAAGATTGGGGAAATGACAGGGTATACTAGGTTCATTGCTTAAATTTCTCGCATATTTGAGAAATGATTGATGCTTCTTGTTATTCATTTTTTAAATAGGAATGTCCCATCACTACTTATATGCTCCACTAAGGATGTAAGATAATTATCCCAGTAACTAGTTTTTCCTGCATCTACGATGCTGATATTTTTGTACAGGCTTATGAATTATCCAAGGATCACAAACCTGAACTTGAGGCTGAGCAAGATAGAATCCTGAAAGCTGGTGGTTTTATCCATGGTGGACGGATAAATGGATCCTTAAACTTGACAAGAGCAATTGGTGATATACCTGTTGGAGCTATTTGTCCATTAGAAAGCTGTCAGTGTTTTTGTTGCTTTCCTCGCCTCTTGGGGCATTCAAAGTAAAACCTATTGTGTGCAGGAGACATGGAATTCAAGCGTAATGATGTATTGCCAGCCGAAGAGCAAATAGTTACTGCAAATCCTGACGTAAACACTGTATGTACGATGTTGCATGGACACATCTAATAGATCGTAAATAATATAGATGTTGCATATAGTTTTGTAGCAAAGTAATCTAGAGTTCTTCTGTCAAGAACTGTTGTCATGGACAAGTTTCTATTGCAACAGTGGGTTTGTGGCTCGCTTCTTGTGACCAGTTATGTTTCACCTACTGTAAAATGACAATTTATCACACTTACGTAATCATTATTATGCCTCTTCAGGTTGATCTTTCAGAAGATATAGAGTTCATTGTGCTCGCATGTGATGGAATTTGGTATGCCTTTTGCTTGATCTATTGCAGAACTTAACGATCACTTTTTGCAGAAGTTGGCATTGTTGGTTATTCTATTAGTTCATTGAACTTTATGTGTTCTTGTTTAGATAAATTTGAAAAGTTACCCATGCACATGAAATACTTAACGTGATATTTTGTTCATTGCTCAGTTAATAGGATTTTTTTTTTTTTGAATTATTTTGATCCTACAGTAGCCAACAATTGTGAGTAGCTTACAATTAAAGAGTTTATTGTGCTCACACGTTATGGAATTTGGTATTTCTTGTAGACTTTAACAATTACTCTTTGCTAAAGTTGGAATTCTTGGTTCTATTAGTTGATTCAACGTTATATATTTTGATAATTTTTTAAAGTTACCCATGCAAATGAAATGCTAAAATGCCATATTTTGTTTAGTGCTCAGTTCATAGATTTTTTTTTTAAATAGTTTACCTGAAGTAGCCAACAAACAGGGTAGCTTACTATCTCCTATATTTCTATCTTCTTGGATGCACATACATATGGTGTATATTTTGTCAAATGTCTATGTGGATAAACCAGTTTGTAGCAAAATTTTTCTGTAAAACAGCAACAATGATGACAATGATCACATTGAATGATATCATGGATAAAACTATATTTATTTTTCCTAGTTTGTTATTTCATGGTTTTGCTGCTGCTTCTCTCTCTCCCTTTTTTTTTTTTTTTTTTTAAATAATGATTTATGTCTTATTTTATTGCTCAGGGACTGCATGTCAAGCCAAGAAGTAGTAGACTTTGTACATCAACAATTGAAATCGGTAACTCTTAATTTGCTCTCAGGTAGACTTTGCAATAATGTCCGTCTTGTTCAGTATTTAACTGCAAGTGCTTTGTACTCTGCAGCAAACTAAACTTTCTGTCATAAGTGAACGGGTACTGGACAAATGCTTGGCACCTTCTGTTGGTGCTGAAGGTTGTGATAATATGTCCATTATTTTGGTTCAGTTGAAGAAATCTGCAACCTCCAGTTCCGGTGCTGAGACTGAACATCCTTTTGATGAAAAGTTACATGTAAAAAGTTGATTTTTTTTTTTTTTTTAATTTTTTATAAAATGATATACCAGATTTTCTTTTCCATTGACGATGTACTCTGTACATAAAAGGATAGTGTTTGCTTATTTGTTCATGTTTTTGGTGTCAAACAAATTGTGGAAGGGTTGCTAATTGAAGATGTAGTATAAGCAAAAAGACCGTTCACATCTCAGGTGAGCTCACTCAGTTGAAATAGCTTGATACAATGTTACAATGACAGTACATCCAACTACGCGTATTTTGTTCATTTGATTTTCGTTCTTTTTGAAATGGGATATGGGTTTTGTGACAATATAGTTCGAAGTTATTTTCTTTTGACATTTTTCTGAAGAAACATACACAATTATTAATGGTTTCGCTCTCATAAGGGAATGTTTCATACAATGGTTACGGTTTCCTATCTCTAAAAAACCAAAAACCGAAAGTACCAAAAACAAAACACAAAAGGAAAAAACTACATATGAAATGAAAAGTAAATGCAATAGAGAAAATCAAGCCTTCTCCTTAGGGATTGCAATGGATTGGAGGTGGGTCGAGGGATGCTTCATCTGCCTCCATCCACCAACGATCTATCCGTCACCCAATCCATCCATCACCTAATTTACCTTCATTCACATTCGATCCATCCATCATTCATGGATGAATTAGGTGGATTGGATGATAAGTCGGGTGAAATAAAATATATAAATACAATTTTGTACTTTCATAAATAAAATAAAGAATTGAAAAAAAAGTGATTAATTAGTTAAAACCATACATCTTTGTAATACTTACTCTTTTTTACTACATTAAAACACATATCAATTCCTAACATTGCAAAAATTATTAAAAAAGATATATATGTTTATATTTACATATATAAAGTTAACGGGTGGATGGATGGGTTGGGTGATGAGTTGGTTGTCTCATCACCCGAATCCGACCCGATTCGTCACCTGACTCATCCATCATCCATCCGTCACCCGCTTAAGTTTGGGTTTTTATCCATATAAGTAATGAACTAATGTTTTTTTAATAACTAATCGAACCTACGACCACGTATTTTCAATATTATATATCAATATATGTCATTAGTTTATTCCTTATCGTCTCACAATTGTAGGTATGATAAGTCATCGATAATTCATTTTTTATTTGGCTTAAAGATAAAATTAACACAAAAACTAATCTTATCAGAAAACTAATATTCGGTAAGTGTTTATGACATAATATGAAATGTGATGCATAAACGAATGACTTGATAGTGACTCAATAATAAGGTAATAACTCAATACTACTTAAAAAATGACCTCATTTTTTGAATATAAATAGTATTTGGTCATCCCAACCCAAATTCAGCCAACATGAAAAAGGATCTAAATTGGAATTGGCCAAATATGTACGGAATCAATGTTATCCTAATCCAATTGAACCAAACTCAACCGAACCGTGATCAACTCGACCCAAAATCATCCGACCTCAAACTAACCCGTTCAAACCTTTTTGGTACCCGATACAAATTAATCCGAATCGAATATAAATCGATCTCGAACCGAGGCTGGTTAAATGGGTAACCTTAACCCGAACAAGCCCAACTCGAATAGACTCAACCCGATGTGGGTCAATCTAAACTCCATCCTGTTACCTAAATTGACATCCCTAACTCCATCGTATGAAAGTATTATCGTCTAAAACTTAAAATTTTTGCCTTAGCAAATAAATTACTTATAGAACTACATATTCTTAAATTTTTACCAATAATAAGAAAGTAGTAATGGTTTGAATAAAATACTCCTATTTTAAATCACAAGATTTACAAAAGGAATATTCTGTTGTAATAATGTGAACAAAACGAGATATAGCATGTGTTCACTGCTTAGCTACCTGAATTCTGATTAAGACCTGATCCCGAACTACTCGCTGGCCAGATTTGAAGAAGGAAAGTGTAGAGGTACTTCTTCGTACTCTATTGAAAACAATAATGAGTACTCCGTTGTTGAGAGTTAAAGAGTTAGATACCATGCCTGGTTGCACCAAACTAATATAAAAACACATTAAAAAATAATTTTGGCACACTTATTATAAGAGCATATATTTTAATGATCTTCTCACATAAAAGTGTGTCAAAATTAATTTTAGGTGTGCCTAAATCATCCCCCTTAATTACATCATCCCTCTTTTTCTTACCATATAAATATTAAAAATAAAATGTTTAAAAAATTACCTAATTGCACCAAAATATACTTCGTAGTAGTATTAGAATATAGTTTTAGATTTTAAAATATAAACTAGTTATTGGTTTGGCCGTCCTAGTATTGTCTCGATTATTGTATGTATTTTGAATATACTGATTTTGTATTGATTTTATTTTACATATTAAAATTAGGTAGATAGTTTTTGAGATTAATGCTCCCTCGGCTCAGGTTTTATTAAATGCAACACTTTGACCAATACAGTGTTTTATGCGGTTGTTTTAAAATTATTAAAATATTATGTAAGTGGGAGTGAGTGAATATTTTATATGTAAAAGTAACAGATGCGTGTGATTGAATTAATTTAAAAGAAAAAAGTGCGTGTGTGGTATGAGTGGGGAGCATGTGATCAGAGAAATATAATAAAATAGTGATTAATATTTTCATTTAAAAAAGTGTTCAATTTTTTTTTAAAAAAAAGCCCTTTATAAAAAGTGTTGCAACTTTTATAAAAATACAGAGGATGTATTTAAAACAAAAAAAAAAAAAATTATTTCGCTAACTAATTCTATCCATTTAACATTGTATTCTTATTAAGTATAGTGCAGACAAAATTTGAAAGAAATAAATTACCTTTCTCAGTATTTAAATGGTGAATAAAATAAAACATGAAATCTAATCTATATTATAAGCCAAGACTCAAGATGAGAGATTGTGGAGTCCCCTGAAATTACCTTAGTACCCCTCTTGACTTATTGCATTGCAATAGTATAATAAGGGTAAAAAAAAATAGTGGAAAAATTGAAAAGAATAGTTCCACTTTTACTCATTCGATCGACTCAAAACAATCCCATCTTACCTATAGGATGAGTAGGTGATGCTGATTTTTTTTTATTTTTTTTTTGTTATTAAAAAAAGAACTAATTGAAAGGTGACACGTGACAAGTCAACTTCTTCAACCGGTTACCAACTTAATAAACCGGTCAAGGGATCGTTTAGAGAAAATTGGGGTTCAAGGTGGGATTTTTCTAGATTTCGCAAAAGTGATATAGATTGTTTTTAGCAGAATGAGCAAAAGTAGGATTATTATTTTCAATTTTTCTTTATTTTTTTTGTCTAGTTTTATACACAACATTGCACTATTACTATCTTGGTGCATAAAATGCAATAAACCTTCCTTGACTCAATCTCATAAAAATGATTGAATAAATACTAGCTAACTACTACTTGACTCAACACTATTAAATTATATGGGTGGGAAATATCATGAATCATGCTCAATAATTCTAACTTTAACCCCTTTTAATAAATATAAGTCTTACTTAAAAAATTCATGCCTTCTTCATACTCAATAATAATTGATACTAACATGATTCAATTACTTTCAACATGTATCACAACATTATCATTACTTCAACTAGTTCACATGCTTACATATAAGACATGAATAATCAAATAAACATTCAAGCATCATAATAACCTATCATGATACTAATCTCATACTTTTTACACAATATAAACTTCTAATATGATTTTACGCGTAATTAAACCAATCCTACGTGCATATATACCTTGAATAGTGCCTCAAATTGGCCACACTCACTAAAAGTCACCTGGCAGATTAAAGTCTTCTACCATAAAGGATGATAAAACATAATTAATCTCTTGTTAACACAAATTTTCAGCAACATACAAACATTCTAAACCTCTCCAAAATATTGAAATTTTGGTTTAAAACCCTTGAATCACTTTCTTTAAGTGAGTTATTAAAACCCTAAAGTAAAAACACAATTTCAATGCTTATACAAAAATTCAAGCATACTTTTTAAGTTTTAAACCTTTTGAATAAATATGAAAATTTCATTAAAACCATTATATAATTCTCTTTCTATAGGTAAGCAATCCCTATTCATCAAAACTCAAAAGTAGTGCTTATATAAAAATTTCAGCAATATAATTTCAATAAAAACTCATTAAAACTTCATAAAAACATAATCTTTAATCTCGATTTATCATTAAAGTCATTGGATCTACAAAACCCCCAAATTTATTTCAAATAAAACCCTAAAAATCAATACTTTAACAATTTAAAACCATAACTTATAAACAATATGAAAATTAAACCATATATGAAATCTAAAATTATAATTACCATACCATGAAAGCTTTATGTAAACTAATTAATCATATGTTAAACTAGTAAATCAAAACCATATACAAAACAAAAAAATATGCTCTAATATATATATAATGACCAGGTTACAATGAGAACCTCTCCTATAATGGGAACTAGGAACTCATTTCAACCATCAGATTAAAACAAAGTGGATGGCTGCGATTGTGTTATGATTAAATCAGAAAATTAGCCAAAAAAGAAAAAAACTTGTGTTTCTCTCTCCTCTTTCTCGCTGACAACATTTTCTCTCTCCTCTAGCGTTTTTCAAGATTTCTCACCTCAATCATCAGCTCAAAAGTCATGAATTTTGCTATAATTTAAACACTTCTTCAATAATTTGCTGAACTAATTGCACAATTTCTCAACTATAGAGGTAATTATTGTAAATTTGGTATAATTCGATTTTTAGGGTTAAATTTTTTTATTCTACGTTTATCGGATAATATATCCTATCAATTTGGAGCATTCATTTGTAATTTCGTTAACAATTTGTTTTGCTTCATTAAAGCTAATGATCTGTATTCTCCATTAAAGGGAATTTCGAGCTTTTTCGAGCTTTTGATACTCCATTGAAGCAGCTTCTGAGGTAAGATGTTTTATGTCTTTTTTTAAATAGCTGAATTAAATTTCAATTTTAATATTTCTTGTTTTTCTTCAATTTTAAATCAAATTGCAATTCAATTTGATTAAGATGTGTTAAAGTAAACTAAAATTGTGCAAAAGTAAACTATATATCTCTTAAAGTATAATAGATATTTTGATGCTCACCAAATGTTTGACAAAATGCTACAATGTAGCATACTTCGAATAATTTAGAAATAGCATTATTTGAGTGAAGGATTTTGAATAGTGTGAAATTTGACACATTTGAGCTACAAATAAGTTAAAATAATTCTTTGT